GCAATGGCGCAATCTCGGCTCACCGCAACCTCCGCCTCCTGGGTTCAAGCAATTCTCCTGCCTTAGCCTCCCGAGTAGCTGGGACTACAGGCATGCGCCACCATGCGCAGCTAATTTTTGTATTTTTAATAGAGACGGGGTTTCACCATGTTGACCAGATGATCTCGATCTCTTGACCTCGAGATCCACCCGCCTCGGCCTCCCAAAGTGCTGGGATTACAGGCTTGAACCACCGCGCCCGGCCTCAAGGTTGTTCCTCTTTGGAAACATTTTTTTTTTTTTTTTAAGATGGGGTTTCACCATGATGGCCGGGCTGGTCTTGAACTCCTGACCTCAGGTGATCCACCCACCTCAGCCTCCCAAAGTGCTAGGATTACAGGCGTGAGCCACCGCACCCGGCTCTCCTCTTTGGAAACATTACAGGGTGATGAGTCCTCAGCCCATTCTCTGTGGCTTCCTGGTCCTGGATTTCAGAACGGCCTGGGGCTACCCCAGGATGCCCACAGCTCCCAAGTCTCTTGTGTAAAGTGAATATCAGTCCCTGTGTTGCTCCTCCCAGAGGACGGCCTGAGGTGGAGATGATGGGACCTTGTAGGGAAGCAGGATGATGCTCTGTGGTGGGAGGAGTCTCCTGGTATACTCTTCCTCAAGAAGCTACTTCCTTAGGACACTCAGCTTTTCCTCCCCGATCCCTTCCTTGGGGTCAGCCAATTGGATGGTGGTATTAATGGGACAAGACTGAAATGATTCTTCCCTGATGCTCTCAGACTAATGAAGGGAGAAAACTATCCCTAAGGATAGGAAAACCAGCCCCATTGAGGTGGTACAAGAATCTGAAAAGCAAACAATGTAGTGTCTCTTGGGATCGTGGTTACTGAGCACTTCAGTGAGCAGCATGGGGATGGGGGATGTTCTAGGTAACAGGAGGACCTCACTTGACACACTGACACACTCTGCGCCCATAGGGAGGTGGTGAAAGGAGATGATGGTATAAGGAATGCATATGGATCAACCAAATTGAAGAACTGGGAGAAAATAGAGAACTTGAAACTGTGTCAAGGGTCATAAAACCCCTTTTTGGTATGAAAAACATAAAACCACATTCAAAATGGAAGCTGAGATAGCAAACTGAATAAAAATTAATGAAAACTGGAAAGGCTATAGTTAGTTGATCATTGTATATGGAAATGCTAGGCAGAAGATGGATTATTCTCCTGTAGATGACCATTTGTCCCTATCATTTTTGTTGAAGTGTCTCTCATTAGTATCACTGCCTGGCAATACCTGCTGTGTCATCAGTTCTTGTACCTTTTTTTCTTCTTCTTTTTTTTTTTTTT